ATGTAAACACACACACAATGTATAATGTATGTAAACACACACAATGTATAATGTATGTAAACACACACACATACACACACACACACACACACACACACACACACACACACACACACACACACACACACACAATGTATAATGTATGTAAACACACACACACACAGACACACACACACACACATACACACACACTGACACAATATATAATGTATGTAAACACACACACACACACACACACATAATGTATAATGTATGTAAACACACACACACAATGTATAATGTATGTAAACACACACACACAATGTATAGTGTATGTAAACACACACACACACACAATGTATAATGTATGTAACACACACACACACACACACACACACACAATGTGTAATGTATGTAAACACACACACACACACAATGTATAATGTATGTAAACACACACACACACACAATGTATAATGTATGTAAACACACACACAATGTATAATGTATGTAAACTCACACACACAATTTATAATGTATGTAAACACACACACAATGTATAATGTATGTAAACACACACACATACACACACACACACACACACAATGTATAATGTATGTAAACGCACACACACACAATGTATAATGTATGTAAACACACACACACACAATGTATAATGTAAGTACACACACACACAATGTATAACGTATGTAAACGCACACACACACACAATGTATAATGCATGTAAACACACACACACACACACACACACACACACATACACACACACACACAGACACACACACACATACACAATGTATAATGTATGTAACACACACACACACACAGTACACACACACATACACACTACCACAATGTATAATGTATGTAAACACACCACACACACACACACACAACACACACACACCACACACACACACACACACGCACACACACACACAAAATGTATAATGTATGTAGACACACACACACAATGTATAATGTATGTAACACACACACACACACACACATTGTATAATGTATGTAAACACACACACACAATGTATAATGTATGTAAACACACACACACACACACACACAATGTATAATATATGTAAACACACACACACACACACAATGTATAATGTATGTAAACACACACACACACAATGTATAATATATGTAAACACACACACACACACAATTTATAATATATGTAAACACACACACACACACACAATGTATAATTTATGTAAACACACACACACACAATGTATAATATATGTAACACACACACACAATGTATAATATATGTAAACACACACACACACACAATGTATAATATATGTAAACACACACACACACAATGTATAATATATGTAAACACACACACACACACACACAATGTATAATGTATGTAAACACACACACACACAATTTATAATATATGTAAACACACAGACACACACAATGTATAATGTATGTAAACACACACACAATGTATAATATATGTAAACACACACACACACACAATGTATAATATATGTAAACACACACACAATGTATAATATATGTAAACACACACACACACACACACACAATGCATAATATATGTAAACACACACACAATGTATAATATATGTAAACACACACACACACAATGTATAATGTATGTAAACACACACACACACACACACACACACAATGTATAATATATGTAAACACACACACACACACAATTTATAATATATGTAAACACACACACATGATACAACAATGTAATGTATGTAAAACAACACACACACACAATGTATAATATATGTAAACACACACACACACAATGTATAATGTATGTAAACACTCACACACACACACAATGTATAATGTATGTAAACACAGACACACACACAATGTATAATGTATGTAAACACACACACACACACACACAATGTATAATGTATGTAAACACACACACACACAATGTATAATATATGTAAACACACACACACACAATGTATAATGTATGTAAACACTCACACACACACACAATGTATAATGTATGTAAACACAGACACACACACACAATGTATAATGTATGTAAACACACACACACAATGTATAATATATGTAAACACACACACAATGTATAATGTATGTAAACACACACCAACACACACTAGACGTGCAATATCAAATTGCGTTTCCATCCAAAAAATGTTGCGAACCACTGGAGCGGGATAAATGAGATCAGACAGAGGAATAATCGGTTTATAATTCCATTCAACGTCTCCATTGCCTTACTCTCTACGTCTTCGTACTCATGAAGCTCCTATCAGTCTCAAATTAGACTCTACCATCTTCATTTTGTGAGGCCGACTGATTAGCCTCATGGAATGCATTAACGGACGGCCAGCATGACTACTTTTGACCTACATGAACAAAAAAGCAATGACATGCGTCAATGTCCAGAACAAAGTTGAAATACGTATTTTTACCAGTATATATATATTTTTTCGCCCTCCATAATTCCATCTTTTATTGCCTTCACCTTGTAGATAATTCTATTTATTGCTTGGACAGGCCTACACCTCCTTAAATTAATTGCATCAGTAATATCTTTTGATTCTTATCACATGGAAAGACACTGCTGTGAACTGGTACTTGATTATCAAAAGCGATTCCCAATCCGGAAATAAGTATCGCTGTTTCCTTTCTTAAAGTTTTAATATTATCATATTAAAGAGAGTTATGGCACTTGACACTAAACAGATTTGTGGAAGAAAAGGTTTTCTTTCAAAAACGGCTCATTTCGCGAAGGGCTTCCTCTTCAAAAATATCCCTCATCGGTACCAAAGGCTGACTTTCTCCATAGTTGTCATTGCCAGAGCGCTCTTCACCTGGTGATGAGCACTGTATCGACTGGCGTTAACCTGGTGAAGCTTTGATGGTGGGCGGGGTCGGGCAGCCTCTCGGAGGACGCCTGCAAAAGGGTGGAGGTCAGGGCAGGGGGCGCGAGGGGCTCCAGGCAGATGAACTCGTTCGCGCGAACTCTTTGGGTCACGACTTCCTGTGTGGCAAGGGCGCTGTGGCGCATCCCGTAGATGAAGTACCACGAGATACCTGTTAGGAAGAAGGTTGTGAGGATATACAAACATTATTAACAAATGCAAGAAGATAGTATTCAAAACAACGTTTTACATGCGATTATTTTTCCGAGTAATTAGTGTGAACTAGAATACCTGCTAATAAATACACGAAGAGGACCGCCCAGGAGTGGCTGAGCACCTGCACCAGCAAGAAGAAGTTGAGGAAGAGAGCCGCAGCGGGGAGCCACGGCGCGGCCGGCACTTGGAAGGCGACGGTTTGGTTGGGACGGAGGTAGGCAGGCGAGTGAGCAGGACCACCAGCAGGAGAGTGACCAACATGCAGATGACCAAAGTCGCCACCAGGAAC